GATTTGACTAGTCGAGCGTTGGACGCGCGCACACTGTCAGTTACGTCGTCACCATACATGGTCGTGTTATGAACAATCGCAGGAGACTTAGCAGGTATTCTAAAGCCATTGATACGCACATCGTATCAGCACTAAAACCACAGCACGTAATGAAACTTGCACGATTTGCATACTCAAGGAGACAGATAACACAGATCACTGATCATTCATGCTCATGCGTGCAGTTTGTAACATGTGTGGGAGAATCAATTTGGTGATCCTGCAACTTAAGAGACAGAAGATGATACTTCGTGTTCAAACCCATTCAAACCCGTTCAAACAACACTAATGGGCACCTCAAAGCTTTCTTCATGGCTCATGGCACACCGGAATTCATGTGGCAGAGTTTTCATACATGCTGATTTGCCACTGCACAATGACAGTTCTGTAATCAAAATGCACAATAGTCACTTTGATATGAGCAAGAGGCACTGCTTCTTGCTGGCTGTGTACTACGTACCATATAGTTACTCACAAACTTATCTAGAGGAAAATCTGGCGCTAGTGAGTTGCTGGATGCAAGGGAATGATGGTATATGTGGGCTTCGAGCTTGACTCTGATCTGTATAGTACCTCAAATACACGTCTGGCTGCACGGTAAAATGATCGATTTCTTACTAAAAAAAAAAAGCACGTAATAAGCTGTTGATTTTTGTCATTGCAAAGAAACGTGTTTCATTTACCATAATTACTCGAATCTAACGCGGACCTTTTTTTCGGTTAAGCGAGTTCATAAATCGCATGCGCGTTAGAATCAAGTACGAAAAAAAAAATCAATACGGTCATTCTATTGCCATCGGCATTTCCAAAATGGTCGCCCCCTACGTGCGTCAGTATGGCGCGTTGGCCATTTCTGCCTATGTTTTTCCCCTGTGCCCCACTTCGTACATGTGCTGAGAAGTTCGTCATCTTGTAATGCATTAGCATTGATGGCATGGAAGGTCAGACTCCAAAAACTCGACGAGTGCACCACGATGCCGCTTTTAAAAGAAAAGTCATCGCGTGTGCAGAAACAGACGGAAATTGGGCTGCATCGCGGTCGTTCGGAGTTCCCGAAACATGCATGCGGGACTGGCGGAAACAAAAGCAGAAGATTGTCGACAGCGAAGCTTCACGCAAAGGCTTCAGTGGACCACAGCAGGGTCGGTTTCCACAAATTGAAGAGCTGCTCGGCGAGTATGTGCTTGAGCGGCACAGCGGCCCGTGACGACAGAACTGCTCCAAGTGCGGGCTATGCAGTTAGCCATAGAAAAAGGGCTAATGCGGAACTAGTTTAAAGCGAGCAGGTGCTGGCTAATTTTATGAAGAGGAAAGGCTTTTCCCTTCGAAGGCGAATGGGCATATGCGAAAAGTTTTGCGGAGGAGTACGATGAAAAGCTTCACAGTTTTCAGAGGTTCGTCCTAAACTTGCGGCGCAACAACGGCTACCTGCTTGGGCAAATCGGGAATGCCGATCAGACGCCTCTTTACTTCGACATGCCTGGCACCACAAACGTCGAGAAAAAGGGGGCGAAGCAAGTTCGCGTGCTGACATCGGTCCATGGTAAAACTACAGTGACGGCAATGCTCTGTTGCACGTCAGATGGGCACAAGCTTCCTCCGTACCTCATATTTAAACGAAAGCCGCTCCCGAAAGGAGTCGTTTTTCCGAGTGGTGCGATCATGCGGGCCAACGAGAAAAATGGGTGCGCGTTGCAATCGATGACTTTTTTTTTTTTTCGTCCTGGAAACCGAGTGCGCGTTACAATCGAGGGCGCGGTAGAATCGAGTAATTATAGTGGCACTGTAACCTTCTGCGTTGATGTACAATTTGACGAAGCGTAAGAAGTAACCAACGGCCGCTAAACTTGGCAGGCAGATAACAAAGCGAGCGTTCCCTTCACCACTTTTATGTTGTCTGTTTCTTTCGCCATTTGGTTGTGCCGTCAAAGTGAATGGACTTCTATTTTAGATTGTAATACATGTCAATGAGGTCTACTGATAAACATTGTTTTACAGAAGCTTTATATATGCAGCCGTGTTTGCTTTTAAGTTGAAGCCTCGCTCAACACCAGCCAACACAAGCCTCGCACACATATACGATCATTCCCAGCGCTCCAACTGGGCCCCTTAAGAAATTCGCATAGACGGTGGCACCACACTTTTCTCTAGGTATTATTGTGAGAAACTATGCAATGTACTATGCAAACATTTATGCATAGCCTTATGATTGGTGTACTTGGTCAACAACCATTTTGCAGTGAGACTGTATGCGTTTATATTTGTTTTGCAAAAAAGAAAACAGGCACGAAAGCATTTTTGTAATACCCACGCCACCGGGGCATAAAAAATCACATTCAGCAGTCAGAGCAATCAAGTTTCTAAATGAAATTTTCATCAGCCAAGCTGGCACACATCTAAATTAAATGGAATGTAACCTGACGATGTCAATAGCAACAACTCTTGAAATGCACAATTTTAGGATAACAATAAAATATAAACACAAATTTTAACAACTCTAACCTGCTTTCATGAATACTGAGACATAACAGTAAGCTTTTATATTGCCATTAGCTTGAGTTTGTTTTTGTCTTTTACAACATCTCGACTGATCACAGCAACTTTGGCCATTGCGTGTTGCATCTGAAGCTTAGAATATTTATTTATTTATGTATTTATTTACAAATAATGCAGGCCCTGTTCGGGCCCAAGCAGGAGTGGGTAACAAATGTCAGTGACAAAACAGAATATAAAAATATAAGAAAATGCAATACTTGGTACAAAAATAAGGAAATTCTCAAGATCAGGGAAAATATAAATAATACATAGCAATAATGGCATGCATACCAAAATACAAAAAATCTCAGCACTAATTAGGAACATAAGATATTGCATATTAAAGATCAAGTCTTAGGTCATTGACGAGATGGGCGAACGATTGTGTCGTGTCCGCATTAACGACCTCCTGAGGTAACTTGTTCCATAATGAAAGAGCATGAGGAAATAATTAGTACTGATGAACGTTCAGATGACTGAATGGTTGCCTGTTTTATTATGATGAATACGGTCAAAGCGCACGGACGGGTTGGTTATGTAGCGATTGGGTGCAATTTTGAAGTGACCATGGCACAATTGATAGATGAATTTTAATCGAGAGACTATTCTAGGATGAGCGAGTGTTTTCAGGTTTGCCTTCTCGCGAAGGGCAGAGACGCTTGCAAAACGAGAGTAGCTAGAATAAATGAACCTCAGAGTCAGGTTCATTTATTCATGGTACCATGTCATTTCGGAATCGTTGCGACCCCGAAGTGGACTTCTTTATGGTGCAACAGGCAAGTAATACCGTATTTACTCGCATAATCCTCGCACTTTTTTTGCCGGAAACCTGATGCAAAGTTGGGGGGTGCAAGAATTACGCGGGGAAAACTTTCCACGAAAACGCAGAGAGCGAAAAAAAATAAACGAAGTGGCCGCAAATCGGGATTCTCACACCAGCAACTTACAGCAAGCTTTACAAAGTACTAATTAGAACTTACCTCAACAATAAAAGCAGAGGTTCAACACAAGGCAAGATTTATTTGAGACAGAAAAAGTGGAAGCAAATAGTCGAGAACTAGAATACTATACGCGAAGCTTGTGGGCGTTGCGGTAGCGGTCGGCGCTCAACAGGAGCCCTCAAAAGGTAAGCATAGGACGTCAGTATTGGGCTGATGGCTATTTAACAGAATCGTCCGCAGTTTCCTTCTGAAGAAATAAAGTTTACCATCAATCCCAGTTTTAGGCACACAGCAGGCCCAACGCGTCTTGGTGGCTTTCAGCTGCCGTCACCAGTAGCGAACACAAAACTCGTAGGCTCCGAAGGGCCTACCGGCGGCTCTGTTGCCGTTGTTTAGCGTATGATCTATCACTTGCAACTTGAAGCAGCCATGTGGCTTCAGTATCGCCCCATAACGTGCCAAGATAACCGACACAACATACAAAACACGCCGCAACGCGCACTGCCCACTTCGGCTTGGCTTAGATTGGATTGAATCTCCATGCAATAGTACGCTTGATGCTTAAGAGATGGCGCCAAATGGCGCACGCTATCATCATCAGTGGTTGGAAAGAACAGGCGACATTATTGCGGCAGTTTTCGGGGGTGCGATAATTACTCGAGGAAAAAATTTTTTCATATTTTTCTTGGGTGATGTGGGGGGTGCGAGAATTATGCGAGTGCGAGGATTATGCGAGTAAATACGGTATGCTTTCTGTTCATGCATAAAATATTTTGGACATAATCGATGCTATTTTAAATGTTTTGTGTGCGTGCATTCTACTGGGCATGCTTTGGGGCTGAGAGTAGACATTTTTCAGTCGAACGATTTCTAATGAAGGCATTAGATGCCGAATGGCATTACGGCGAATGTTATTTCATGTGCCTCTGCGGCACCGCACAATTGGCATTAAATCTTAAGGCATTAGAAAGTTAATTTCATTTTCTGTGCCCATGTGACAGAGGTATAAAACAGGATTCTGTTTATCTGGCACTTAGTTTGCAATGAGCACAATGCTTACAGTGCACGGTCTCTGAAGCATACAGTATATGATCAGCGGGTGCTTTATGCAACTCTCACAAGGGTGGGAGAGGGGTGCAGAGGCATTCCGGAAAAGCTGTTTGGGCTCCCCAAGGCCCGAAGGTTTAGGACTCCCTGGTCTATAATAATAATAATAATAATAATAAATATAATATTTGGGGCTTCACGTCCCAAAACAACGATATGACTATGATAAATGTCGTAGTGGAGGGCCGAGGAAATTTCGACCATCTGGTGTTCTTTAACGTGCACTAACATCGCGCAGTACACGAGCCTCTACCATTTTGCCTCCATTGAAATGCGACCTTCGGGTCAGCAGCCGCGCACCTTAGCCACACATCCACTGAGGCAGGCCCTGGTCTACAATACACAATTTAGGAAGACAAAAAAAAAAAAAATACTCACCTGTCCCATGCTTTTCAATATACTGCAGTGCCTTCAATAACCGGAGTGTCTCATCCACAGATCTATATAGGTTGAAATCATTGATTGTGATCTGGCGAATCATAGCCTTGGTGTCAATAATGAATGATGCCCTGGGAAAAGGTTATATAATTAGGAACGAATAATTTTATATAAGCTGTCAAGGCTATCAACACAGCAGCCCCTGAATGTGTTTGGTAGGCATGTAAAATGAAAAATACCTTCAACAGCAGTTGAGATAAACAATTTCTCTGGAACACTCACAGGGCAGTGAAATTCGCAAGGGCAGGTGATGTACATCTGAGGATGGTACATCGCCATTATAGACTGCCAGACATTAAAGGATGCTCCCAGGATGGCAATGAAGCATTTTTCATGGCAGTTATTGGCACCCTCCCACATGGCCATGTGGGTTGGACATCCATTTCACATTCTGCAGGGCAGCATCCAGTTCCCATTATCACGGGACCTCCTTTATTCAAGAAGTTGTTGGAGATCCCCCTCGTGGCTACATTTAAGTGGGGTGCTGTTAATGGCCAAGAAAGTTTGTAACTGCAGGTCTTTAGATAGAACAAATTTAAACAACTTACTCCACGGTCTGTACATGCGATAGACCTACCTCAATGCCATTCCAGTTGCTTCAATCAGTACATTGTAGTCCTTTGAGATCTTCTTAGTGAAGTCCGACATCAAGGCAACATTGGCCTTTCCAAGCCCTCCAAGCTGAAAAATGCAAAATATTGATAAACAACCACTGTTCCACATAAAATGCCTTCCCACACTCACTGCCCCACCTCAGCAATGTCAATATGCAGAATGAAGCCAAGTAGGCTCAAAACCAAAGATTCCACCTCCATTTTCCAAAGGATCCCAACAAGGACCAAAAATTGCCCAGGTATTGATCCCACATTTTCTGGCATTTCATTCTTCCTCCTGTACCTGGGGAAATTGCGCAGAGAAGTTACTAGCTAAAGAAGATGCATTCATTTCATTACTATTGTTTCATACCTACTATTAGTTTGTCACCTTCCTATCGTAAAAGTTTAGGAGACTCCATAATTTTGCTTAAAGCAAAGAGCAGCTTTGAAGAAAAAAGGTGGTTTCACTGCAGTTATAGCGTGCTGCCTAAAAAAATGCACTTCATTACAACATCTTTTCAAGACAAGCCATGACGGTCAATAGTCAATGGTGCAATTAAGAAAGACAAGCCAGATATTCATGCCATACAATGATGACTACACAGAAAAACTACAGACAAAACATTTCTTGCTCCAGCAGAGACAAATACTGTACATGCATTGGGCCATTAGTGATGTTAACAAGTTATTGTGACTCTCAATGAATAACCCTGCCTTCAGTGAAAATACATTCCGAGGCTAATTAGGGTTGCCAACCAACCCGAGAGTGGTAGGACAGTCCCATCTTTTGAGTGAATATCTTGATGCCGTTATAAATGACAATGTCCACATTTTCATTTTTTTTCCCTTGCTGCTGGTTAACTACTATCAATAAATGCAACTACCTTTTCATAATGCCTGAAATACAAGTTGCAAATCTCTCTCTTTTGTCTTCTGTGGCAAAGTCTCAAAAATTATAGTTTTATTTTTCTGGTGGTTCTACTCCTTTATACCTGTGTCATATCGGCCCTTTTGAAAGGCAATCCAGCCAATAGCCATAACTTTGAGTTATTACGCTACTACACGGCAGCTTTGTAGAGCCGTTGAGTGGTTCAGGCGTTTATCACAAAAATTTTCTGGTGCTGCGAATTTTTATTTTTGTACTTAGGTTAAACAATATAGCTTCACTTAATAAGGTGGTAGGCCACCTTCAAAAGTAATTTTTTTTCGTGAAATAAATTTTTAGGGTTTTGTTTTTCTTGCACGCCCAAACATTCACATATATGTTGCAACAAAAATTATCCTCCTAGCCTCATTAGTTGGCGAGTTACAGCAAGTTTTCTATACCTTATGCTCCTATAGCAAAACAGAAACCACATTTCCAACTGTGGTTTCTGTTTCAAAAAATCGCTTTGAAAAGCAAGTGTTGTTTCGTCTATATTAATGCTATTCAAAATGCTTTATGCATTTTATTGTGACTGTTATATAAGATGATGTCATTAAATACAACTTTGTGTTGAAAAGTCTTCGTTAATCTCTAACAACAGCCACAAGGGGGACGCACGATGCTCGTCAGAATTTTTGTTGTTTGCCTTGGTCAGGCTACGTCAGACTTCGTTTTGCATTTGTTCCACGTGTCAACGCTACTAGGGCTTGTGTGCGACTTAAGGGAAACCTTGCCCAGTGATACGTGTTGAACGAGGCTTCTGGTCCACGTATGTGTGCGAGTCGGCTTCAGGCAATGAACAACTTTATTGCCGGAACAAGAACGAGTATATATACACAACTAGTGCCGCTGCCAGGCATGCGCACTAAAGGTACAAACAGTGACGAGGCGCTTATTGAGCCTTGCTACAGGGCTGTATCCTTAGGCCACCTGGACCATATTACGACCAGCATGGGGAAGTGCAGAACACAGAAGACGAGGAAGCGCAAGTTTGCTGGAAATCGCTACACGACGACGAAGCTGCCTACTGACACAGACGCCGGTATTTCGGCGACCGCGAAGAAGCTTGGGGACACAAACAAGGCATACCAGGCTCCACGAGAGAATTCTGCGCTCCAAGGGAACAGGATAATGGACATTGGTATTCTTTCTTCAGTGTTTCCATCGCTGGCATGTTCCGAATGCATGAACACAACACTGAAGCTCGAGGAACGCTCTCACCAAGGGATATGCTCGGCTTGTGCGGTCGTGTGTACCGACTGTAGGTTCAAGCGCCCATTTCATACGTCGAGAAAGGTGGGTCGTGCCAATGAGAACAATTTACGTCTGGTTTACGCGATGCGCCAGTTAGGAAAAGGGCACGCTGGTGCGAAAACTTTTTCCAAGTGATGAAAATGCCTGCTCCTCCACGTCACTCCGCCTACGACAAATTGTCATCTCAGCTTTCTGCAGCGGCAGGAGAAGTGGCGTCGAAGTCGATGACTGATGCTGCTGTAAAAGTTTGTCGTGTTGTGGGGAGTGCCGAGTGTGGTGTTTTAGGTGATGGCACGTGGCAGAAGCGTGGCCATTCATCTTTGAACGGTTGTGTGCCTGTGATTTCTGTTGACACGGGAAAGGTTATTGATGTTGAGGCCCTTTCTAGTTCGTGTAAGTCTTGTAAAACCAAAAGCAAGTTGAGGCAAGATAGTGCTTCGTACCAGGAATGGAAGGCAAACCACACTTCCTGTCAAGCAAACCATGAAGAAAGTGCTGGCAGTATGGAGACGGTTGGTCTATACCGAATATTTGGAAGGTCGAAAGGCAAAAGAGATTTGAAGTACCTGCAGTACTACGGCGATGGTGATTCCAAGAGCTATGCCGCTGTCAAAGACATGTATGGAAAGGACAGTGTGCAGACAGAAACTGGAATGTATTGGGCATGTCCAGAAGCATTTTGGCTGCCGCCTCAGAAAACTGAAGAAGACAGTGTGTGGACTCGGTGGTAAGGGAACCACCATTGGTAAGGGAACCACTCATTGACCGCCTGCAAAACTAATATGGCATCGTCATAAGGGCTAATGTGGGGAACCTTTCTGCAATAAAAAAGGCTACCTCTTGCCAGTCTTTTTCATTGCAGCTCTACCGACAAGCAGCCGAGACATGGCCTGCTGTGTTGGTGGCAGAAGAAGGAAGTGAAGAAGTGAGTGAACGACTGTTTACTCAGCCACAGCAGCCACACCCGGCAGGTTGTGCATTTCATCGCAGCAAAATCAAGATGCTCGCCGGTACAACACCTACCACAGAGCCGTAATATACGAACTAGGTGATCTAGTTTGGGTTTCGACTCCCATACGTCAATGTGGGTGCTCAGAGAAATTGTTATGTCGGTACTTCGGACCCTACCGAGTTCTTCATCACCTCGGGGAAGTCAACTATGAAGTTGTCCTGGCAGACACGTCGCACTGTTCTCGTAGACCACGCTCCTCGGATGCGGTTCTTGTCTCCAAGATGAAGCTGTACTATTCGCGTTGACTGCAAGTCCTGAACTTTGTGATGTGGCACTTGCCTTCAAGGCAATTGTACATTTCTTTCTCACCATTTTTTTTTCATCTCGCCCTTTTTCTTCTCAATGAACACAGAGATTTTCGACCACCTTTCATTGTTTTTCGAAGCAGCGGCATTCATGTGATGTTTCTTCTTTTTTGGGGGGTTGAAAAGAGGGTTATGCCATGCTGTGTTGGTGGCAAAAGAAGAGAGCGAAGAAGTGAGTGGCCGCTGTGGCTGAGTAAACAGTCGATCACTGTTCCTGTCTATCGTTTCCTCTCGTGACGATATAGTGCTGCGCATGAACCACATGGCGGAGTCAGCGGGTGTCCATCTCAGGAGGTCAGCCTGTTAGTGTAGTCTCATATTCATTTGCCTTTGATCAAAAAATGCTGCTACCTTCTACAAATGTACCTAACTACAAACACAGTTAGTACATAGCACACAGTTAGTACATAGCACACAGTTACTGATGACTCGACTTCAGGCCTATGAAAGAAGCACTGGGAGACAGCAGAGGTCACCACGACAGCAAGACCACTGCCGAGGTTCACTCTAAGGCTCCCACGAAATTTTACAGAAGCTACATGTCGCATCACCCTACCAAAGTGGAGAGCTAAGGGCCCAACATAATGGTTTGTTTCGGCTGCGAACAAGTTTAGCTTTTATAAAAACGGGTCCCAGTAACTAGTAACTGCACTCCACTAAGCAATGCATAACAAGAACTGAAGTGAAATAACTCTTATCCCATCATGAAACTGAAACGCAAGTTGAAAAAGAACATAAAAGGCAACCACAGGAAGTAAACCACAGGAAGTAGCTAGCGGTGCATGCACTTCCACTAGCTTCAAATACTAAATACTTCCACCAACTTCAAATCCACTTTAACTCTTTTGCTAGTTTTCTGGTCAAAAACAATAAAAAATACAGATTTTTTTTAAAATTTGCCTCTTTGATTCTACATGTCTTGAAACAACTAAAAAGACTACTGAAAGGTGCTTTGCTCATAAGATAAATGCAAAATATTTTATGAATATATGCAGAGGATTGACTTGACTGCACTGCACCCCTGAAAGTGCCTTAAGCTTTCCTGCCTTTCATGCAAAAATTTATCTTTCAAATTTCAAAAATAAAGCACAAGAACAAATAGCTTGTTAAAAAAAAAAAAAGCCTTATACACACTGGAGGGTGTTTACATCTATCAGTGTCCACTGCATGCCAATATGCAAAGACACGGTGATCGTCTGACTCCTATGAATTAGAAAACTTGGGCTGCTCTACGTAGTTGCTGCCGCACCCTCAGAAAAACTGAAATCTTCCAATCATCAAAACTTCAGAAAACAAGCATTTGTTTCTTGATTTTTTTTCCCCAGACGATTTTTGCCGACACACGCACACCACTAACACACCAAGGAGAACACCCTTTTATAATTCCAGCTGCCAGAATCCAGTCTTATTAGACTAAAATGCATGCTTTGAGCAGATTTAAAAATGTTTTTTTAATGCATCTATTCAAGCCAAAGAGAACTTTGCGAAATGAACAACGGAAGCTTAATAATCACAGTGCCGTTAGCTTCTTTTAGCTCGTCTTCAGTAGAGAAAGGGTTCAACCATTTGAAAAGTCATATTAACAGTTT